TGGGAGAAAATACACAGAGCAAAGCAGTCATTATTGCCAGGACCTGTACGCTTAAGCAATTGCTGAGCTATCCTTGTAAAATACTAGTTGTTTTATTATGATCCAAAAGCTGCAGTATCTTCCGACTCACTGACCCAGAAGAATACATATTAAGAGTTCTGGCTTTTGGGATCCAGATTCGTGACTATCCCAACATCCATACTTTTCCAGATTTGTAGCTTTTTTTTTTTTTTTGTCTACATATTTATTCCAAATGTGCATTCTTGTTTTCAGATGTGTGAATTTCCCAGTTTTTATGCTTTTTCCAGGGTTGTGATTTGAAGTATCATGCAAAAAGACAAGTTGAGCTCCCCCGTCTCACAAATCAATACCACACCCTTATCTGACCATGCAGCCTGGCTGGCCAGAAAAGATGGGCCTGATCCTGGCCTGCGGAAATGGTCATACATATCAGAGGCAATCATCTCTGTTGTGTGATGAACCATTATTATGGTGAATGTGTAAATAATACACAGCTCAGTATCCTGCTTGGTTAAGCCGGCCATATACTAATACATGGATTCTTTTTTTCAAATCTAAATCTAACGGGGAAAAAAAAATTGAAAACAAGTTTGAGAGATATATATATCAAAAGTTTTAGGCAGATGTTAAAAAAATGCAGTAAATTAAGAGTGCTTTCAAAAGATATATTTATTTTGATCAATTTACAAAAGAAGAAAAATCTTAATCAAATCAATATTTGGTGTAGCTACCCTTTGTGCAAGTGTAAGAATGGATGTTGGTTTGATGCCAAAGTCAGGGATTTTGTAGGATTAGAGTCAGGTGTAAGATTAACCAATTCTAGCAAGCAGGTGCTAATGATCATCAATTTCATATGTAGGTTGAAAGTCATTACCTGAAGCAGAAATGGCTGTGTAGGAGGCTTAAAACTGGGTGAGGAATAGCCAAACTCTGCTACTAAGGTGAGGTTGTAGATGACAGTTTCAAGCTACAGGCCATACACCGTGGCAAGTCTGAGCACAGCAGCAATACACAAGGTAGTTCCACTGCATCAGCAAGGTCTTTCCCAGGCAACAATTCCAAAGCCGGCTGGAGATTTAAGATGTGCTATTCAAGCTTTTTTGAAGAAGTACAAAGAACTGGGTAACGTTGAGAACCACAGACGCAGTGGTCGGCCAAGGAAAGTTAATGCAGCAGATGAAAGACACCATGTTTACTTCGCTTTGACATTGGAAGATGTCCCGCAGTGTCATCAGCACCGAACTGGCAGAAACCAGTGGGATCTAGGTGCACCCATCTACTGCCTGGAGAAGTATAGCCAGAAATGTTCTTCATGGAAGAATTGCGGACAAAAAGCTATACTTCTGACATGGAGCTCTAGCCAATACTAAAAAGTAGCAAATGCAAGAACATGTAGAAAAAAAAAAACAGGACAAACCTATGACACTCACAAAATGGTCACCAATGGTAAATACCAGGCAGGAACAGACCGCCCAAAATAGACAGCATGGCATATGGAAGTCACAAGGAATGTGCTAGGGCAACATAATGGCAAAGTGAAAGCTAACAAAGTAGCTAGAAAAATAGCACTAGACCATCCAACCTGCGAGTACAGCAAATGGACAAATGTGAGATGTGAATAACAACCTAGAAAACAATAACGCTGACTGCACAAAGTAGGGAATATGCACATATGTATGGAACATGGATTAACACTTCACAGCCAGAAAGAAAAAACTGAGGACCCAGATACATAATAGAAAATGAGGAGGGATGGTGACACTAGGTGGTCACCCAGTGGAGGAAAAACTCACACCACCACCACCAACATGAGCAATGACATGGAAAGTTTCCAGTCTAAAAAGTGCCAACAGTAAGGTCTAGACATTAAAGTAGGTGCAGAGAAGTAGACGCTATAAAGTACAAACACTAAGGTACATTCAATGTCTCCGGCATGAGCCAAAGGAGGCAATCGATCATACCTAGCACATGCATTGCAAAATATCGCAGTAAACAAATGCATGTCAGAGAAAACTGTAGATCAGGATTAGAACACAAGTGAACAAAAAGTCAGTGACTGGAAACATTAAAAGTAGTTAAATAGTCATTAAAAGCAGTTGGGACTGTCCGTTAAGTCCCCAGGAAGCCAAGGTTTATAGTTCATGAATCCATAGGCTTTCCCTTTGTAAAAGCAGACAATAGCCCCAGATAAGGTGGAGGTATGGTCAATCACTATAATGTCGATATAGACAAGCAATTGCATGGTGGTGCATGATCTATGGTTGTTAAACCAATCCCTAAAGGGTGTAATAGTCTTGCCTATATAGTACTGACTGAAGGGGCAGTGAAGCGAATATACTACAAAAATGTCTCTGTTTAACATACACTCATTTGCCCGACTGCAGGTGTAGAAAGAATTGTCTGGTGAGCATATGGCGACGTGGTATAGTCAGGACAATAGTAAACGCCAGGTTTACCAGGTAGATATTTTAGTCATAGGCGGTAGCTCTGTATGCATCAGGAGCTCTTTCAAGCTTTGTTCCCTTCCATAGCTCATGATGGGGGGGAGGTGTCTTGGCTACGAAGAGGTTTTGATCGCTAGAAATGATCAGCCAACAGGAACAGTCCAATTCCTTCACTGTATGGCTCACTCCTGAGTAGCAAGTAGGAAATTAAGTTTATGAACCTTTTGTGTCAAGTCATCACCACTTCCAGACCAAAGGAGCAAAAGATCATCAATGTAGCAACAATAAAATAGCCTATATGGTGCCAATTTGGCTAATAGGATATAGTGCCCATAATATTGATGCATGTATATATTTTGCAAAAGGGGCAGCATTCGATCCCATGCAGTCCTGAAGCACTGTAAGTACATTTTATTACTGAATAATTCAAAATTGAGGATGAAGCGCAGAAGGTTAAGACAAAAGGAAATAGGTGGAATTCTATGTTACAATTGCAAAAAGGCTTCATGTACTACCTGGATCGCTCCATGCTGTGGGATGACGGTATAAGGGCCAAGCACGGCGGACATTACAAATCATAGGGCCCCATACAGCCTACATGGCTAGCCCCCCCAAGCTGCCAATGGCATGCTCTGGACTCAGGACTTAGTAACGCACTGGATTCAGGACTTAGTAACCCACTGGACTGAGGACTCTGGACTTAGTAACCCACTGGACTCTGGACATAGTAACCCACTGGACTCTGAACATAGTAACCCACTGGACTTAGTAACGTACTGGACTCAGGACTTGGTAACGCAGTGGACTCAGAGCTTAGTAATGCAGTGGACTCAGAGCTTAGTGACGCACTGGACTCAGAGCTTAGTGACGCACTGGACTCAGAGCTTAGTGACGCACTGGACTCAGAGCTTAGTGACGCACTGGACTCAGAGCTTAGTGACGCACTGGACTCAGAGCGTAGTGACGTACTGGACTCAGAGCTTAGTGACGCACTGGAATCAGAGCTTAGTGACGCACTGGACTCAGAGCTTAGTGACGCATTGACTCAGAGCTTAGTAACGCACTGGACTCAGCGCTTAGTAACGCACTCGACTCAGGGCTTAGTAACGCACTGGACTCAGAGCTTAGTAATGCACTGGACTCAGAGCTTAGTGACGCACTGGACTCAGAGCTTAGTGACGCACTGGACTCAGGGCTTAGTGACGCACTGGACTCAGGGCTTAGTGACGCACTGGACTCAGGGCTTAGTGACGCACTGGACTCAGGACTTAGTAACGCACTGGTATATAGAGAGCAGGGGCCAGGAGCATAATTTACAGCATGGTGTATAGAGAGCAGGGGGTCAGGAGTATAATGTACAGCATAGTGTATACATGCCCACTGACAGTTGTTGGGGAACTTGACCAGTGATTTCTCAATGCGCTATGCTGTGCTATAGAACCCCTCCGGGTTTTGTGTTATGCTATCGGGCATGTGCACTAACGACAACTCAAAATCTGCTGGCAAGTTACCGAAAGTGACATAATTGGCAATTTCGCCTAATTGGTTCTTTCGGAACACCGCCTTCGTATGTGTTTTGGAAGTTATATAGCCTCCATCTTGGAGATGGGCAAAGTTTTCTAAACGTCAGCTGAGTGAGGTAGGAATCAAAGCCGTGACACACTGCACGCGAAGCGGGGGCGCGCTGCCTTTGCGAGCAGTGTGTCATGTAATTTTCTGCTCGGCAGCTCAGCTTGCGAGAGCTCGCGGAGCTGAGCGTGCCAAGATGAACAATTTCAACTTCAGCCAATCGGCTCGCGCGTATAAACCAGCGCGTTGCGACGCGACAGCTGGCAGGTTGTTACGGACGAGCCGATTGGCTGAAGGTGCTGTCAATCATCTGACTGCACTCAGCTCACACACTGCACGCAAAGCTCCGTGCCGGATAGCTTTGCTTCGCTCTGCACGGCTTCGCGTGCAGTGTGTCACGGCCTTCAGCAGCAGCGTCATGTAATTTTCTCCTCGGCACGTCAGCTTGCGAGAGCTCGCGTAGCTGAGCGTGCCGAGATGAAAAATGTCATCTTCAGCCAATCGGCTCGCACGTATAAACCCGCGCGTCAGCATGCGACGTCTAGCTGTTTGTTATGCACGAGCCGATTGGCTGAAGGTGCAGTCAATCATCTAACTGCACTCAGCACACACTGCACGCAAAGCTCCGTGCCGGACAGCTTTGCTTCGCTCTGCACGGCTCTGCGTGCAGTGTGTCACGGGCTGACTTGCTCGTGCCAGGAGTGTAAACGTTTCTGACAAAGTACTCAGTGACATGCCGCTAAAAGCAGCACCTCAATCCCAGTATGTAAGGGCGGATGTAATATATATATCATCATGGATGTGGGCATGCATCCTCTCTCTTTAGTTCGTAAGGGCGGAAGTTAAATATGCTCCATCTTGGACATGGGCAAGGTTTTCCAGAAGTAGGGAACACAAGGGGGTGTGACAGAGTCCCCAGTGACGTGCCGCGTAAGGCAGGCCCCCGGTGACGTGTTGACTGGAAGCGGAAGTCAGGCTTTTGCGTAAGCCGCTCAGAGTGAGGTTGGCATACATGTAATGCTGCAGCGTTCCCTGTGTAGGTCACAAATGCCTGTTTTTGTGCACTAGTTTTGTAAGTGCGATTTTACCTTGCTGTGGTTTAATAAATTCACTACGGTTTTACGCTATTTTGTGTATTCTATATACTCTGAGCACACTGGATCAATATAGAGCGAAGCTGGATGTAAGCAAGACCGAAGGCTCGCTGACCCTGGATGGGGATTTAAGCATATTAGACCTGACTGATGTATACCATTTACAAGGTGAGAGCCAGGCCAAAAGGGGGTGGGGTGTCCCTGGGTGACCCACTACATATAATGCTCTTATGCACCGGTGCGGAGGAGAGGGAGTGTTTATTATTCTATGTGTGCTCATGGTGTAAGTGACATGCTGTCTCCTATATTCTTATCGGCCAGTGTGACACTGTGATGTTTTATTATTGGGGGGGCGCAATAGATACATGTAATTGTGTGTACCCCATTACCACCAAGCTGCTGCTTCATCTTTCCCTCGAACCCCCTTTCCTGCTGGATATCGCCCTCGGCACTGACAGTTAACATCCATTGCCATCCTCTCTGCCATTCAGTATCCCACAATGCATTGCATTCTGTGACTGGCGCTGGAGATTCTGTCATTCAACTGCTCCTCCATTCATAGAACACAATGCATTGTGGGATAATGGAATAGGACGCACTGTGTTGTGGAATAACAGTAATATGAGTTCTATGAATGGCGGAGGGTCAGCAGTGCAATTTTGCATACAAGCGGTGGTGGCTGTTAAATTTAAGGGCCCATTCACACCACCTCAGAGCGTTAATCGTGCATGCACTATTTTTTCCAGACACATGGCAATGCATGGTATCTGTGGCACTGTGCGTTTTTGCACAACCGATCGCACTGCAAGTGGGCGGTATGTTTGGGGTGCCATTCAATTGACCTGCACTGTGTTTGCAAAGGAGGTGTGTTTAGTGGACTGTGTGTTTAATCGCACAGAGATAATGTGAAAGGGCCCTTACTGCGCCGGAAGGCAGCGCTGATGGGAAGATTTTATGAAGCAGCAGCCTGCAGGTATTGGAGTACACCATTACAAGAATGCAGTCCCCACCCCAAGTAAAAAAAACTAAACTTCAGCTTGAGCTCCCTCTGAGTATGTGGGATCATCAGAGGGGCGGGGGGTTAAAGCTGGCTGGGTGCACTTTTATTACACTGGTGATGTGGAAGAATTTTTTGTAGATGGACTTTACTGGACATTTGCAGTTTACACTTCTCGATTGATTGTGGACATTGATTTATGTAAGCATGGTTTATTGTTGTGTTCTATCTGGTTGTTTTGTTTATAGAGCTTATATCGGTGATCGGTACTTTAGAGCAGCCTTTCTCAACCGGGGTTCTGCGGCATCCATCCTGGGGTGCAGTCTAGGTTCTTCACAGGTGGCTTAAAAAATAAATTGTAATTGTAAAAAATGTAACAAAGACTGTCAGAGGGTCACAGGGGATGCAATTGGACAGCGGCACAGCTTGCTTGGCTGCCCCTCCCCTGCACTTCAACACCGGGCGTGCACCAACTAAGCATGCTGTGCTGGCCTTCAGCGCCTTGGCAACCAATGATGTCATCAGTTGCTAGAATGCAAGTGGCTTGCTTGCCCTGCCCCTGTACTTTAGCACCTGGAGTGCCAGCCCTGAATCCCATCTACAGCAATGGAGCATGATGTGCAAGCCAGCCGCTTGTGTCCTAGCAACCAATGACATCACTGGTTGCTAGGACATTGGTGGCCTGCTCACACAATTTGCTCAGTTATGGTGCACCCACCATAACACCTAATCATGCTGTACTCATAGAAGAACATATGTCTGAGGTGGGATTCACAGCTGGTGCTCCAGGTGTCCAGTATAGGGGGAAGGCCAACCAAGCGAGCTGTGCATTCTAACAAGTGGCTGGCCTGCTTGGTTGGGGGGAATTGTGATGTAAAAGAGGGGTACTCAGGTCTCAAGGGGAAGACTCTGATGTGAAGGGGAGGGGGGGGGAGTCTGATGTGACGGGAAGGAAAACTCGAGGTCAAAGGACACTGGGGTGCCTCCAGATTTTGCATACTTTGAAAGGGTGCCATGGTTGAGAAACACTGTTTTAGAGTGCTGCACACTCCTTTTAGGTAATGTTCAAAAAGGTATTTAGATTGCAATTTGTTAGAACATGAATGTGGAGTGTGGGGGCATCCTCTGAAAACTGATTTACAGCCTTTTCTGCTACTTTAAAAAAGGTTTTTCATCAATCTGATGTCTTCAACATGTTTCACCATTTAAAACCAAACTGCAGGAAAAATATGATCTGTGCACCGCAATGTGTGATCTGTGGAGGACCCCTGCAAAGTATAAAAACCTTACCTTGCAAAGTATACAAACCTTACCTTGCTCCTGCAAATAACACTTGTCTTCCAGACACTGTGGAGATGGCCCTTGCAGCTCTGAAGTGACCTGAAAAGGGGCACCATGAACAGCGGGGGTAAATGTCACCAACATGCCAAAGGGATTTGAAATCCAAAGTGTTTGTTTAATAAAACGTCATCAGGACATGTTCTCAGTTCTTATGACATGAGGGTTCATTAAACAAACACTTTGGATTTCAAATCTCTTTGGTGTGCTGGTGACATTTACCTATTACCCCCGCTGTTCATGGTGCCCCTTTTCAGGTCACTTCAGAGCTTCAAGGGCACACTAGTGATGTAGCAGCCGGTGAGTGGAACCACAGTGGGGAGCAGGAGGACACAATCATGTGACACACCCGGAAGTGATGGGTACTGAGGACCTTGGCCGTACCTGTAACACTGGAAGAGAGTCAACATTCCATTTAATCAAGGTGATAATGGAAAGTATAACACATTACATACACGTGTTCTTAGATTACATGTATTCTAATGTTCTCATGACAGCGTCTCAGACCCTTTAAATCAGGGACAGACAACCTCAGCACTCCAGCTGTGCTAAATCATGAAATCCCATCATGCCTCTGGGAGTCATGCTTGTGGATGTCAGTCTTGTAGTGCTTAATGGGACTTTTTAGTTCCACAATGGTTGGAGTGCCAGGGTTGCCTATTCTTGCTTTACAGTGTATGACAAGTCAAAACAAATCTTCAATCATTTGCCTTGCCTAGTTTAGGATAGAATGGTGGTGGTGGGTTATTGCAGTTTGTCCTGAATTAGGAGGTTCACCCCTTTTTCCCCAGTCATCTTCCAGGACAGCCATCGAGATATAGGCTCCGCCTGCCATGGTGACCATTGTGACCAAGAGAGAAAGTGATGGGACATCTGGAATTTTAGCGGAGGTCTTCCAGTGAGGACACTTGTTCCAGGGACAACAAAGAGGGGATTTCCTAACACTGGGGGATTTCCTCTAACTTTTGCTGTCTCTCTGGGACAGGAAGTGAAGTGAAATTTCTCCAGTGGTACACAGGCAGCACATAATAACCTGGCAGGGGTTTTAACCTTTTCCTACTCTATCCAAAACTTTAAAAAACCGGGTCTGTCTATAAATAACACCTTTAACTACCTGCGGTCCGGCCGTTGTAATTAAACGGCCAGACAGCGGCTTCTTCTTGTTTACATACAAGCGTTGGGGCGTCAGTAGAGACGCCCGATCGCTTGTAATATGCGCTCAGGTGTGCGGCCCCCTCCGCCGCTGCTGGCGATCCCGGGCTCCGCTGTTCCCGATGTGAGCCCGGGACCAGCACAGCAGCTCTGCGGCCGGAGATCAAACGGAGCTCAGTACACGAGCTCCGTTTGATCTCCTCTTCTGAATGCAGGCAGTGATGTGTATTACATCACTTCCTGCATTCAGTGTCACCCCCCGGTACAGAAACCGGAGAGAAGCTGGTGAAGCAGGTCTCTGCTTCATCAGCTTCTCTGGGGGTCCCTAGGTGACATTAGGGGTCTTAAGACCCCTGATGTCTCCATAAGGAGGACCTGTCACTGCAAACTGGCTATCACATAGGGAGCTTGCTCGCTCCCTATGTGATAGCAATAAAGTTCAGTGAAAAAAAAAAAGGTTTAAAAAAAATTAAAAACCACATATCAAAGCAATAAAAACAAAATAAATGTAAGTCCCCCGCCCCCACACGTAAACATGCGTCAAGCCCGCCTACGTGCGAAAACGCAGATTACATCCATTGCTCCGCACATGTTACATATCGCCGCGACCGTCAGAGTGAGAGCAATAATTCTAGGGCCATCAATCACTGATAACACAAAACTAATGAGCGGTAAAAGCTTTTTAAAGCGTCGGCTATGGTCAATTTTGAGTATGGTCGTTTTTTGCGATTTAACGGGTGCGCGCAATTTTCAAGCTTGACATGTTTGGTGTCTATTTACTCGACGTGACCCCGGCTTTTATATTTTACCAAAAAATTGGGTAATAATAAATGTTTTATAACATAACGTAGAGAGAACAGGTTTTTTTTTCAAAAATTTCGGTACTTTTTTTTACTATACAATAAAAAAAAAACTAGTGGTGATTAAATACAACCAAAATAAAGCTCTATCTGTCACCAAAAAATGGTATAAAATTCATTTCCGTACAGCGTTGCATGACGGAATAAATGTCAAAGTACCGCAGCGCTGAACACTGAAAAATGGCCTGGTCAGGAAGGGGGTATAAACGCCCCGGTCAGCAAGTGGTTAAAGGTTTAAACATACAGAGGGGAATTTATCAAAATCTGGAGCAGCTGTGCATGGCAACCAATCAGCTTCTCTCTTCAGTTTTGTACTGTATAGTTAAGATTTGAAACTAAAGGAGAGAAGCTGATTGGTTGCTGTGCACAGCTGCTCCAGTTTTGATAAATTCCCCATAATGTATCTCCCTAAGGGCAGATAAAAGTTGTCTGCTATTACCTTTGTCAGACAAAAAAAAGAAACCTCCTCTATGCGCCTCTCTTAAACGGAATCAGTTTATGACTTCAGTACTAAGCCCTACCAATCCTCACCCACTGAGAGTGCCCTAACTGGCCATCAAGGCACTCTTATTGGACAGGGTGATGCCCTACATTTTGGGTTTGGGTCCAATTAACAGCACTAAACTGGTTTCAGAGGTGTGTGGGATGCACCGATACCAGTATTTTGGTACGGAGTACCGATGATTTTTTTTCCCCGGTACTTGCCGTTACCGAGTAACGGAAGTCCCATTCAGGAAGCCAGGTGGTGTGTAATGACTCGCCACCAGGCTTCCTGATTAGCCAGGCAGCGTGTAAAGACTCGCCACCCGGCTTTCCGATTA